GTTTTTGTATGACAACCCAGTGACAAGGATGCCTGCAGCGCCAGCACAATGCTATGTCGTCACGCAAGCCGTTGAGTTTAGATTAAACATAATCCAAGTTGATGTGTTGCATCATTTCCAGCCTCCTTTTTTGGCATCTGCATTTGGTAGCAGGCCAAACTGACAAAGGCCATGCAGAATAATGTAGTATTTTAAATCCACAGCAGAGAAAGCTATGTAATCTCTGTAAGTAGGTCTTGAAAAAAATATATCAGTATTGGTATTATCGGCCAATTAAGTGTTAACATATGGGCATATTGTATATTGGCCAAAAATCCAATATTGTGCATCCCTAGTTGGAACGTCCAACAGCAAGGAGGATAGAGCCCTGTTATATTCTACTACTGGGCATCGCAGCACAATAAATATTAGTTCTTCTTTGAGTCTACAGCAAATATTTTCTTTTTTAATAAGTGACAGACTGTGAATATTAATTTTCTCCTCTTTGCATTTGCTTTGTCTAAATAAATAAAAAACTGATTGTAAGGCGTTGCAGTGTAAGACAGGAAGTACCTTGATGTTACGTCTTCTTCCTTGCAAAATTATGAGTATATTCTGTCCCAGTAAGAGCCTGCCACCCAGCTGCAGCTGCTGGCTCCAGTGCTCCAGAAGTCCAACGTAACGGTTTCGGGATCGAATGTGGTCTAGCAACAAAACTTCAGTCCACTCCTCCACTGTTTCACTGTCTGCCATCTTCGCTTCACCTCCTCTGGCGTCCTTCGTCAGTTCCACACATTGCTGCTAGAAACACATTACATCGAGTACATTAGCTACATTTTCAAAGCTCAGCAGACAAATCATAGTATGAAAACTATGAAGATCTTCATAAATTAGGATAGTAGTTTTGTGTATTTGTTTTTATTATTATTATTTGGTAGTAGTTGTGTGTATTTTGCGTTTTGTTTATGCTAGTATTACCACTCCTAATCAGTAGAAAGCTTAAAGTTCTTTATGTAACTTTTTAAGAAACTAGTGTTTGTAAGTGCAGCTGTTTACCTGTAAGTCCTCTACCAGCTGGTGAATCATCGGTTCTGGGGTTAGGGTTGCTGCTCGATCCAGAAGTCTCTGTCTGATGGTGTGACACTGAGTCCGAGAGAGGCCAGTGGAAGAAACAGAGATGTCGGGGGGGCAGGAAGGATAGCTGGGGTGCAGCTGGAACACCACGCTCACATTCTGACTGCTGTCTCCTTCACTGCAGCGGTTTATCTGCACCAACATCCCATCTTGAGCTACAAGGCAAACGGTGATGTTAGACCAGCACTGGGACACCAAGGGTTAAAGAATCACCTCAACACTGAACCACCTGAGATCAAGGACTTGAGTAAAACATTAATTTAGTTGGTCCACAAACAGCTGATGCCACGCCATCAGATAGATGTGGTTTCACAGAGTTTGCAGACTCGTATGTTAGTTCTTCAGCGGCAGTCATGAACTGTAAACGTGACATTCAGGGATGAATCTTCAACAGAGAGCGGACAAGGAAATGATGCTGGAACTTCCGCTAGTTTCAAGTCACAAAAACAAGTGAAGAAAATAAGCAGGAGATTTCTACAGTCTGGGATGATATGGCAGGGGACATGGCAGTCATTACCTCTACAGGAAATGCATTGAAATGTTGAATACTTTCTAATTTCTTCAGTAAAAAATAGGTTTCGTGATAAGGAAGCAATTTTTCAAGATTATAGAGCATCTTTTTGTGTGACACAGAGCTCAACTTGAGCCTTGTTTTATAAATACATATAGTAAATGAATATATGTGTGTCAGAAATGAAAAAACTGTATATTTGGGTAGTTAAGAAGTTTCTTTTTAAACTTATTGACTCTAATGATTTTATTTATTGTTAAAATAAAGCGTTACAAAAGTAAATGAAATAGCTTTGTATCATGTATTTGTTTTACTTCATCAACTAGAACGATTTGAACATCCAAGAGAAGGACAGCTCATTGTTTACCTCCTGGTTAGAACAGGTCAACATTAACACAACTACACAGTACACAGAACCCACTTGTACATTTACTTGGCTTAACATGTCATTATATTTATCTAACACTGCTGTTCCATATATTCTGATGCTCCAAACAGTAAAGCTGCCTTTATTTGTGCTGGTGTTTGAAGGGTGAAAAGCTCGTGACCACAGTTTTCAGTTCACACTATTTCCAGGTCTCTCTTGTAAATGAGTCCCCGAGACTCAACGGGATTAACCTGTATAAATAAAGGTTGGATGAATAGATAGTACCAGATTGTTGAACGACCCGGAACTCTCCCTCGCCGCAGTAAATGGATGATAAAACGGAGACTTCTTCAAAAGCAGCCTCTGACATCATTCATAAATCATCATAAAGCACTCATACTGATCCTTTCTTCTTAGTAACTGATAAAATGTAGGACGGCTCCTAAAGCTCCGTCGTAAAAATGCGACATGCTACCAAAATAAATGTTTATGCTAATATTTCGCGTCCGGCAATCTATACTGTCCGGGCAGCTCCTAGGAAGGGCTCATTGGTTCCTATAAAAACTCGTGTTTCTGTTTGTCAACACTGGGCAAATGGGTCATTCATACTATTCGGTGCCTTTTGAGTGTTATATTTTGTTTAAAGGTGGAGTAATATTTATTTTATTAATCCCATCTTATACGTTTGACTCTCCTCTACCATAAAATATAACCAAATGTACACAAGATTAATTTATTTAAAATAATTAAATCTGATTTTAAATCCATCTTGTGTTTACTGTCACGTCCCTTTTCATGTTTCCTGAATTTTAGTTACAATTGCAAGTAATAATAATAAAAAAAAAAAATAATAATATATATATTTTAATAGTACTATTTATAACTGTTCTCATCCATTTACTTTTTATGATCTGAAAATGCTTTTTATGCCTAAATTATTAAAAATAATTTGAGTTCCTGATTCAGGGACTCAAGGGATATATGTCTGCTTCTGTGAAGTCCATGTCAGATGGGATGACGCGCTCCAGGCATTCTGTAGTGTTCAGATAATCAGTGTGCAGCACAATAACCACTGTTGACTAGTTTTGGAGGAATAACTATAAAAAAAGTGACATAAAGTTTGCAAATATTAGCTGTTAGTTCATGTAATGAATATTGACATGTTTCACCTACTTTTGCTTGTTAGCATGAAACAAATGGACGAAGGCTACTGATGTATCTCGGCGCTTTCTATTTTTGGTTTACTGTCTGCCGCAATGGCATTATAAAAGGTTAATATTTTATGTTTCTTCATGTTGTCTTCCCAGTTATTGATAGTTAAAGAGACAAGTATGGTTTAAATTGTCTCATTTAAGGTATAACAAGTTCTTGCATGGGGCCAAGATGGTGGGCCTCATCTGGCATGATGATGACAACACATAGCACTTTATTTTTATGTATGCTTCAGTCTGCAATTGCACACCTTCTGCTGCCAGTGTACAATACATATTTTGTTTACATGGATTTGTTCTGTATTTAAAAGGAAAATTCTCAATCTTTTTGCATGCTCATGGAGAAGTTTTTATATTTCCTCATAGCTGGGTACTGAAGAGGTTCTCCTTAGCACATTCTTACCTGTTGAGTGTTGCTTTAATTGTAAGTTAACCTATTCAGATATTATTGTTGTTGGCTTCACTCTTCTGTGATGGACTTGAGATCGGTCCAGGGTGTCCCCCGCCTCTCACACAGTGACTGATGGATGTGGGCACTACTGTTCCCCGTGACCCAGAAAGGAAGAAGCGAGTAAAGATAATGGATGGATAGATGGATAGATGGATGGCTTTACTCTTCAGCTGTAGAATGGTGTTTTGAAAAAAAAAGTTTTCCTAAAGTCTGGAGCAATAAACTTCTTGAGTTACTTAGTATTGGTTATTACTGTACTGTAGACATGCCAATTTTAAATAACCAGCTGATTGTCATTAATATTAGCAAAGCAAGTTAATATGCTTTGTGTAACATTTTATGGATGAGAGTTTGTTTGCTGAGTTGAACTGAACTCATTGGCTCAATTGACAGATTTAGGTATGAATCCTGACAGAACATTTAAAGAGAAGTGATTAATTTAGCTATTTAATCGGGGTTTTTTTATTTTTGATTTGAAATAGTTCTGTGCTAAATTTCTGTTTTGTAAATTCTGCAAGTCTGTTTAAGTGATAACCGTATTTTTCAGACTATAAGACGTTCTTATCATCAGTCTTACTGTGCTGTATAATAAGTTTAACAAAACAATACATTTACAGTACTTTTTGTGCTCCAACAGAACTTTGAACAGGTCCTATGAGCAGTTTATTTTCTCCTGGATAAAACATACTCCCTCACTTCCCCACTTTCATTTAATTAAACTATCAGGTCACAATACCCGATACATCCCCTTGCTTATCTTTAAAAATATGACCTAATGTGAGTCAAAGAAACGCGAACTAGCAGAAACCTCCTGATACTGCACAGCAAGAACAGGATATAAAAATAGCAGGCGAGAGGTGGCTGCTAAGATATGAACTGAAGCATTCTGCAGAACTCTCAGTTCTTCAAGTCCAGTGTGCATGAGATGATCTGAATGCAGGAACTGAATCGTGTGAGAAGGAACTGCCTGAGGTGAATAGGAAGAACGCGCGCACACACACACACACTATATATATATATATATATATATATATATATATATATATATATATATCATCTTCTTCTTTCAGCTTTTCCCTCTTCAGGGGTCACCACAGTGAGTCATCCTCCTCCACCTCACTCTGTCCTCTGCATCCTCTGTCCACACTCCAACTGCCTCCATGTATCTCCTCTTTGTCTTTTTCCTGGCAGCTGCATTTCTAACATCCTTCTACCAATATACCCACGGTCCCTCCTCTGGACATGTCCAAACCATCTCAGTCTGGCCTCTCTAACTTTATCTCCCAGTTGTTCAACCTGTGCTGCACCTCTGATGATCTCATTCCTAATATTATCCATCCTTGTCACTCCTAAGGAGAACCTTAGCATCTTCATTTCTGCCACTTCCAGTTCTTTCTCCTGTCTTTTTGTCCATGCCTCTGTCTCCAAACCATAAAATATAGCTGGTCTCACCACTGTCTTGTAAACTTTTTCTTTGACCTTTGCTGACACCATTTTTGCCACAAATCACTCCTGAAAATTTTCTCCATCCACTCCATCCTGCCTGGACTCTCCTTTTCACTTCTTTACCACATTCTGCATTTTCCTGGACAGTGGACCCCAAGTGCTTGAAGTCCTGCACCTTTGTGATCTCTGCTCCTTGTAGCCTCACTGCTCCACCGGCCTTCCTCTCATTCACACACATACTCTGTCTTACTACGGCTGACTTTCATTCCTCTTCTTTCAAGTGCATACCTCCACCTCTCCAAATTCTCTTCCACCTGTTTCCTGTTCTCACCATAGATCACAATGTCATCTGCAAACATCATCGTCCATGGGGATTCTTGCCTGACCTCATCTGTTAGTCAGTCCATCACCAGAGCAAACAAGAATGGGCTCAGAGCCGATCCTTGATGTAATCCCACCTCCACCTTGAAACTATCTGTCACTCCTACAGCACATCGCACCACTGTCCTGCTGTCATCATACATGTCCTGTACTAGTCTAACATACTTTTCTGCCACTCCAGATTTCCTCATGCAATACCACACCTCCTCTCTTGGCACTTTGTCATATGCTTTTTTTAAATCCACAAAGACATGATGGAGTTCTTTCTGACCCTCTCTGTACTTCTCCATCAGCATTCTCAAAGCAAAGATGGCATCTGTGGTGCTCTTTCTTGGCATGAAACCATAATGCTGCTCACAGATAGTCACCTCTCGTCTAAGTCTTGCTTCCACAACTCTCTCCCAGATCTTCATCGTGTGGCTCATCAACTTAATTCCCCTGTAATTGCTACAACTGTATGCTGTCAGTCTTGGCCAGGTCTCTCTTGTAAAAGAGATCTTTTGATCTCAATGGGACAAACCTGGTTAAATAAAGATTATGATAATGACAACTCTATACATCACCCTTGTTCTTAAAAATGGACACCAGCACACTTCTTCTCCATTCCTGAGGCATTTTCTCACCCTCATATATGCCATTGAATATTTGAGTCAAAAACCTCACTGCCATCTCTCCAAGACATTTCCAAACCTCCACTGGTATGTCATCAGATCCTACTGCCTTCCACTTCTTCATTCTTTTCAGAGCTTTCTGGACTTCACCCTCACTAATCTTTCCCACTTCCTGGTCCACAGTTTCTAGGAACTCTACTCTTCTTTCTCTTTCATTCTCTTCATTTATTAGCTCCTCAAAAATACTACTTCCATCTTCCTGTCACACTCTCCTCATTTGTTAGAACATTACCATTCCTATCTTTAATAAACCTAACCTGCTGCACATCCTTTCCAGCCTGATCCCTCTGTCTTGCCAATCAGTACAAGGCCTTCTCACTCTCTTAAGTATCCAGTCTCCCATACAACTCAAAGTACGCCCTCTGCTTTGCCTTAGCTACTTCCCTCTTTGCTCTACGTCCCATCTCCTTATATTCCTGTCTCCTCTCTTCAGTCCTCTCACTGTCATATTTCTTCTTGGCTCTCTTTCTTTGAACGGCGTCCTGCACTTCACTATTCCACCACCAGGTTTCCTTATCATCCATTCTCTGTTCAGATGACACACCAAGTACCCTCATGCCTGTCTCTCTAATTACTGTTGCTGTAGTAGCCCAGTCATTTGGAAGCTTTTTCTTACTACCCAGAACCTTTAACAGCTCTCTCTGAATTTCTCACAACATTATTCCTTCTTCATCTTCTACCATTTGGTCTTCTTCTCTGATTTTACTCTTTTTCTCTTCTTCACAACAACAGTCATTCTACACACAACCATCCGATGCTGTCTGGCCACGCTCTACCCTGCCACAACCTTACAGTCTCCAATCTCCCTCAGGTTTCCTCTTCTGCACAGAATTTAGTCGACCTGCGTACTCTTTCCTCCACTCTTATAGGTCACTCTATGTTCCTCCCTCTTTTGGAAATAGGTATTAACTATAACCATTTCTTGGCAAAATCCACCACCATCTGTCCTTCTTGATTTCTTTCCTTGACACCAAACCTACCCATCACTTCCTCATCCCCTCTGTTTCCTTCACCAACATGTCCATTCAGGTCTGCTCCAATTACCACTCTTTCCTCCCTGGGAATACTCTATCACTTCATCTAGAACCTTCCAAAATTTCTCTTTCTCCTCTATGTCACATCCAACCTGTGGAGCATAACCACTGACATTTAGCATCAGACCTTCTACTTCTAACATCAAACACATCACCCTATCTGACACTCTTTTCACCTCTACTACATTCTTTGCCAACTCCTCCTTCAGGACCACCCCTACTCCATTTCTTTTTCTATCCACACCATGGCAAAACAGTTTGAACCCTGCTCCAATGCTACGAGCCTTGCTGCCCTTCCACTTGGTCTCTTGGACACATAAACCATCTACCTTTCTTCTCTGCATCATCCAGCTCTCTACCTTTGCCTGTCATTGTCCCCACATTTAGATTTGCAACCCTCAGGCCTACATTCTTCACTTTCCTCTTCTCCCTCTGTCTCCTGAAACGTTTCCCTCCTCGTGGTCTTCGACTAACAGTAGAACAATTTCCGGCGGCACCCTGTTTGTCATGTTTGTCAACAGCACCGGTGGCGGTCGTTGTTAACCCGGGCCTCGCCCGA